CTTAGCACCTCCGTCTTGTCCGGGTTCAGCCTCAGCCCGTTCTCCTGCATCCATTGCAGTACGGTCCCCAGGCAGCGCTGGAGGGACAGGACGGCATCTCCTGCGGTAGGTGGGAAGGAGATGTAGAGCTGAGTATCATCAGCGTACTGATGACACCGGGCTCCACACCCCCTGATGACCCCTCCCAGCGGTCTCATATAGATGTTAAACAGCATTGGGGAGATTATCGACCCCTGTGGAACCCCACAATTGAGATTCCACGGGGCCGAGACACTCTCCCCAAGCTGCACTCTCTGGGGACGGTCCTCCATAAAAGTTGATCAAGCCCCTATGAAAATACTGTCTTGCTTGTCCTTGGCTTGGCTAACTTCCTGAACATCCACAAATGTATGAATCAACATTGCTGTCCTCTGAAGATGCAGGCCACAGAGACTGGCGAAAGGTCAGGAAGAACAGCCTTCGCAAATATATCTTTTTCTTTCTTTCTTTTTTTTAAAAAAAGTCTTTCTGGGTTTTCCCTCCCATACAGAAGAACCCACCAACACATAAATTCTCCTGCTTCTTTCAATATAAATGAAAATTTAAAGGAATTTATTGAAAATGCAAAGAGGGTTTACATTGTATGTCTTTCATGTAGGGGGGTGACAGAGTAACTCTACCATGCTAAGGTACCACAGTTTACTTCAATACCAACAAAATGGCAGTATTTCATGACATCTATCCAAAGTATCCCTTCAAAAATTGAGTCTTTTCGATGCAGCTTTCTCAACCTAGAAAAAAGCTTCCCTCTTTTGTACTCAGAAGGTTAAATGACTTGGTGGAAGGAGTGACAACAAGAGGAACTCTGCTGGGAAGTAATTATGCTTTACTTGAGTTATGGATTTCAAAAGCAAAGAAAAAAGAAGAATGTAGCATATATTCTGGACTTTAGGAAAGCCAATTTTAATACACTAAGAAAAATGATAGGTAAGACCCCAGGGCAGGAAATCCTAACAGGGAAAGGAGTCCAAGGTGGGTGGAAGTATCTAGAAAAGGAAATTTTAAAGACACAATTACAAACAATTCCAACAAGAAAAAAAGATAGAAGACAGCAAAACACAAACAAACAAACAACGTGGCCTCACAAAAAGCTGTTGCCAGAGGACTGGAGGATAGTATATATAACACCAATCTGGGGGACACAAGCTGCATATGAGCCACACATGCAATGTGGTTGCAAAAAAGGCCAATGCTATTTCAAGCTTCATTAAGAGAAGTATTATCTCCAGATCCTTTGAGGTACTAGTTCCCTTCTATTCAGCACTGGTTAAGCCTCATTAAGAGTACTGCATCCTGTTCTAGACACTACATTTGAAGAAGGTCAACAAACAAGCAAGTCCAAGAAGGGCAATGAGGATGGACAGGGTACTGGAAACCAAGCCCAGTGAGGAAAGAGTAGAATAACTGGGAATGTTTAGTGGTGAGAAAAGATGATTGAAGGGAGCTATGATAGCACTTTTCAAATATCTGTATGAGGAGGGGCAGGATATGTTTTTGATCACCGCAGGGTACAGGACATGTAGTAATGGGCTCATGTTACAGGAAGACAGATTTAGGCTGAATGTCAGAAAAAAGTCTTAACTGTTAGAGCAATGTTAACTGTTAACAACAATGGAACCAGTTACTTCAGGAGGTGGTGAGGACTCCAGTGCTCGAGGCATTCAAGAGAAAATTCAACATCAATCTGTTAGATCTGCTTTGATTTGGATTCCTGCACTGAACAAGGGGCTGGGCTCTATTGCCTTATAGACCCATTCCAACTCAATCATTTTATGTTTCTATAAAGTAGCAAAGGGTTGGATCATAGCTTAATCGTGTTTAACAATAAACTCATTGAAAACAACAGGAAATATAAACCAAACGGAAAAAGTACAGCATGACTAATTTAAGTACCTGAGCGAAATGTGGGAAAGTCTGAAGTTTTGAGTTGATTTTTTTTAAAAAAAAAAAAAGTAAAAATATACCCCTTGTTTAGAAATAAGCTACCCAGATGACCCCAGATTTAAAACAGATTACATAAATTGAAAGATTGCTTATCTTGAAAGAGAATGGTTGGTCCCACCCGAATTTTTTATTTGGAAAGTATCCCAGGTACAGAGGCTGGATTCTTTTGAAATAAATGATTTGTTTGGAAATTCAAAATAGAAAAACAACTGTTTTGTTCTAACACTAAGCATACAAGTACAGGCTTGCTATCAGGAGCTTCATGAAATGACACACTGTATACGTTTATAGGAAGGGGAGGGAGATGTTTGGAGAGTTGCAGGGTAACAAGTTCAAAGAAGTGGACTTTTTTCAAAGGTTAAAAGCAAAAGTTTTTTTAAAAAAAGAAAGTAATAGAGCAACAGTCCTTCAGGAATTGGAATATTTTACTATGTATCTTCAGGGAATTAGCATTACCTTAGAACAGTGTTTCCAAACCTTCTTCAGTCATGACCCAAGTAACCCACAACCCCCTGCCATATTTGTATAAAAGGACCCTGCCAGGCAGCTCCTTTCTTCACAGGTGCAGGAGAAGTCATTGCATTAAGACTCTGAAGTCAATGTGGAATCAAATGGGCAGCCAGTGCAGTGCAGCCAGAATAGGAGAAATATGTTGGTATTTTCTTGCTCCTCTAAGGAGTCTGGCTGCCGCATTCTGCACCACTTGGAGTTTCCGCATCAAACTCAAAGGTAGCCCCAAGTAGAGCACATTACAGTGGTCTAATCTTGAGATTATGAGCGCATGCACCAAGGTAGTGAGTGCCCCCATATCGAGATATGGTTGCAGCCGGGCTATCCGCCAAAGATGGAAAAAGGCGATACGGACCACCGACGCCACCCCATATGCTTGGGGATGGTCTTGCTTAATGTTATCAGAGCTTTGGTGTCTATATCTTGTCATAATCTCCATTCCACTCATTTGTCATTATAGAATTGCTTGGTAATTTTATATATAAAAACTCCAGAGATATTATGTGCCGTCAAGTTACTTCTGATGTGTTGTGACTAAATGAGTTAGTGACTTCCAGAATGTCACATTATTAATGGCTTTGCTTCGATCTTACAAACCTACACTATCTCATATTACTTTTTTTCTCTCTTCATACCTCCCACTAGCAAAATTGTCTTTTCCAGTAAGTTCTACTCAGGTCTTGCAAACTAACAGCTGTGGATTCCTTTACTGAAGAATGTTAGGTCTTCCTCTTTTTCTTACCGCACCCCCATACCACTTTCCCAAGCAATACTGTCTCTTTGTTCAGTTTTGTATTCTCATTATATGTGCATGGTAGGATAGCCTCATTTTACTCATTTTTACTCTAGTGAGAGTTCAGACTTGACTTGATTGAACATCCTCTTTTTTTGCCTTTATGGTTGTCTGTGGTATCTGTAAGGTTCTCCTCCAGCACCATGTTTCAAATGAGTTGATACTCCCTCATTTATCTTTTACATAGTATGGATGATTCTGCCCTTGGTTTCCAGTGACAGTCTGCTAACTGCCAGACCCCTCTCTTTTATTTCAAAAGTTGGGGAACATGTTTTGGAAAACATGCAGGAAACATGTTTGTAAACTAAGTGTTTGGAAATTAGAAGATAGATTTCTAGTCTGAAATCTGTGGAGAGAGCATGACAATATTAGTTTGCCTGAGAGGTTAAAAAGTCTAAAAGTTTCTCTATTTTATGTGTTGCACTCACTCATACTTTTGCCCCACCATTTCATTAAGTCCAAAACAGTTCTTCAAAATATTTTGATACAGAGGGATTGCAGCCACATCCCATCTGTTC